AAAGTATAATTCTTTAAAAGTATAATTCTTTAAAAAGTATAATTGTGCCTATTTTCAGAAACTGTTTTGTCACAAATGATATCATGCGTCGTAAAATGCATGAACTTAAAATATGGCCGGAAATAATGGATGTACTGTACGTACGTACGTACGTACTTAATTATTTAAAGTGATGCCGCCCAAATTCCGATGGTCATTTCACCGACAAACCATCCAACTTATATCACACAAAGTACATCACACGAAAGTTATAATTGTCACATTATGTGATAGTCAAAATGGCCTGCCGGAAAAATGACCACCGGAAAATTGATATGTACGTAACCACTAAAGTATTATAGTTTTATGAATTAACGGAATAATTAAAAATCAAATAACTCCGCAAATTTGAGCCAAGAAATCAAATGACCAATATGAACATGCAACAATGCATTTAATGCATCTTTTTATTGACCGGAAGAAGCGGAGGCACGAAAATGTGTGATTAACAATATTACAATAAAAGAATTCGGTTCATTTGGTGAATTAATGATTCCTGACGAAATTGTCAAATGCATTGTTTTTCATTAATTATTTTATTTTATTACAAGTTTGTCAATTTCGTTATTGCAAAAATAGTTTTGTCAGTATTGATTGATATCTGTGACACTGATTTTCTTTATACAAAAGTATATTCAAATTTCCTGATTTCGTATGTACGTACTTAGGTTCGTACATATCAGATATGTACATATGTACATACGTACAACGAACGTACAACGACATGCCCCATATTATATACTATTTATAGAAATCCATATCACAAAACTTGCATAATTGTAATTTCTATATTTAAATTGAACGGAATTTTATCATTCTAACTTTATTGCAATTTAAGTTTACTGGTAGAGTTGACAATATTGTAATATTACACAAATTCTTATTGAAGAGTTAAAAAAAGTTCATAATGCTTTATCTTAAAATTCCTTGTGGGATAAAATAAAATAATGGTTGCTGCAAATGCTTTGTTGTTGTTCCTCTTTAAGCAAAAAATAACGACTCAATTATCCGAAAAATCAATCACAATGTGGCATTTCTTCAAGTTAGGATAAATTATTTGAAGATGGTGGTTACATGTCCCAATCTTTCTCGTTATTTAAATCGGAAATTCTCAATAGGTTTAATGTCAGGAGAATACTATAAATGGCTCCGATTTATTTTAATTTACAAAGTAAACAAATTAAAGTAAAAGCCTAACTTTTATGGTTTCTTGTAAAAGCTTGTGTCACTATTGTACTGAAAAAACTAATTATAATACAAAAATTTTCGATTTTTTTAATCGTAGAAATAGGAAATATCTTTGTATTTTAGTAAATGAAAGTACTTCGTAGTACTTATAAGGATCATAACGGAGTTTCTGCAGATGCTTTTTAGCTAGTGATGCAATATTTTATTTTATAATTATAGGGCATTAATGATACCTCGCTTTTCAAACACTTATCTATCAATATCGTTCCAGATAGTGTCAATACCAAATGACAGATTAATCAGGTAATCAATATAACAATATAAATAACGTTGTCAAGGTACAATGGGTAGCAGTCTTCTAAGTTTAATGCTAATTAACATCAACATTACATATTATGATCTTAAAATAGCAAAGCTATACTATATATGCGATAATGACAATAAGGATTAAAACAACTGGTACGTATGTACAAAAAACTTGACGTAATTGTGTTGCAAATTCCCTGGTTAAGTGCCTGTAATCAAAGAATCAAGAATCGAGCTATGAAGAGGAAAACTCGCAAATGTGAACCCGAAAAAAATTGTGTGATAGTGATAGTGTATGTCGAGTAAAAAAGAAAAGAAAAAAAATTAATTAATTGGTTGTTATAAGTTCTAAAGTTAAATAAAAAGGACGAAAACTTATCTTTTAAATAAACAAATCCTATCTCTTAGAGAAAATATAAGAGTCTCTGCCGTGAAATGAATAGATTAACAAATAATGTCTTTACTTATCCAAAGTTATAAAAATCTTAACTATGTCGTTGTAAAAGAAAGAACTTTCAATTTAAAAAACAAATAGTTAAAATCATATTTAAAATAATTAAATAAATTCTAAGCCTTTATTAACATAATTCACTTATCAAATCACCACATCACGCCTCTGGCAAGATAAAATTATCATTTTTTTTAGATCACGTGTTAAATATGTAAAATTCTTGGTAAAAGAGTCATTTTTCCCGTGCTAGTGTCGAGCTTTTAGTATATTCGAATGGTTGAAATTTATGATAAATAAAGCTGCTCAATAATCATATTGATTGTTTTTTATGTGGTATATCTATTAACTTGAGTGAGCGTCGAAACCCAAATCTCGAAATTTAATTATCGCGGCATGTGATAATTAACCTCTGTTACTAATCATCAGCGGAGATTAAATATTAACACTCAGCGCAAAATCCAGTATCGGAATTTTTGATTTCAGAATTTTGACATGTAGTCGACGTTAACAAAAAAATCTATAATGGCTACAGTAATAGGAATATTGAATAGGATATTGTTTATGTATGAGAAACTTTACATGAATGAACGGTTTATCTTCGATTGTGGGCGTCAAATTGCATATGCAATGCTGATATCATTGAAACATCATGTCATGCATAGACGTCATTTCAACAATGACATATTAATAACGAAGAAAATATAGGGTTCAATAACGTTTATAAAAGGTTATGTTAAACCGGTTTTTAATATAAAGTCGGCTGTAAATATATCTAGTATACATATAACAAATATGTATATCGATATTGTACTGTACTTCCGAGAGAATTTATATGGAAAATCTGAATCCTGTACGTATGTAAAAATTAAGCGATAATTGCGATACCTATTATTACATCTACGTATTCAAAAAAAGGATACCTATAAGAAGATAATTTTTTTAATAAATATTTTGGTGTAATTCATTTAAGATTAATAATAATTACCTTAATGAGATTCCAACAAAATTATTGGAAATTTCCAATGCGCATATATGTTAGATATTTTTAAAATATTGAAATTGAAAAGACTAGAAATTTCCAATGCGCATATTACTAACCTAGATTTTATGAAAAATTAGAATATTATGAATATTTTCGGCTCTATTTACTAATCAGCTTTTGTAATGTTAAATGCACAAACCGGGGAAAGCCGACAATATCCCTGTAGAATATGATATCAAAAAAGTAAATAAATCAATTGGTATAATTAGACTTTATAATAATTACATATTCATCCAAAAGATTGCAGTGAGTTAGTGTATGTTATTAGCAGTGTAAAATATTTTTGAATATTAAATAAAGATAAAGTAATGTTTAAACAATAGCATTATCATTATTATTGTTATTGGAAAGTTTTATGTTGGATTTTATATCCGATTCATGGCATAAACAATACTAAAAGG